CTAGTACTGCAACAGGAAAGCAAGAAATCAAGCAGAAAACACATGTCAAAGTTATTGTAACTGCATCTTTTCTCTCCCCTTGGGGATTTTGTTTTCAAGCAATGGCTTCCTCTCACAGCTTTTAATACTTAATTAGTCATTTTCATCAGCATGGAGTTGTTCTAATTTGTTAGTTCTATGTTCCAATTATGAAATGTGACAGATTCCTAAATATTTAATGGGAATGGGATTATTAGCAATGAGCCCTTGTTGCATGCTGCATTGTTATCCTCTTTGGTATTGTAAAATATATGATGTACCTGTAGAAAAGAGACCTTAGTAGAGCATACAGATGGAATTGAATTCCTAAAGCAGTCATAGGTCTGCAAGAGTTATTCTCAAGATCTCAATACAGTCTTCTTAGATTATTATACATGAACACTAGTGAAAAAAGTCATCTCTTATTTTTCTGGACCTTGAATACTGCAGACAAAAAGCACATCAAAGGTGCTTCTTAAAGCTTTTTTCCTCATTAACTGAGGCCCTTCTTCCTCACCATATTCTTCAGCCTCATGTTGGGGTGTGTCTAGGTGACAGCTACACAGCCAGGATAGCATCTAAGCCTGGCACGAGACAGAAAGGAGACTTATTTCAGAGTATTCCTTAAAATTCTCATAATATCCACTTTCTCACTATACCTTATGAGAATGTCTGACAAGCAATCAGAAATCAAACATAATGTTTGCATTGGAGAGGTGGTTTCCTTGAAAATGGTAAAAGAATTAAGGTGTTTTTCAAATTGTGAGCACCAAGTCTAATTAAGATCTTGCTTTTCATAAAAACATGGAAATAAGGTGCAGGGTGTTCTTAGCATTGATTGCAACTACTGGGAATTAGGAAATGGAATTAAGTTGCAATATGCTACATATGGATGACTGACTTCTTAAGGACTGATGAAAAGAGTAGTTACCCAGAAAGAGCACTAAATAAATGGGTTTCTTCACTATGAAAAAATCCTGAAGATGCTGTGTCCTAAATCTATATGGAATAGTTAATAGGAGAAAATCATAACAAGACTGACATCATCACAAGTATTGTTGTTCTGCATCTGCCTTAATTTCTCATTGCTTAATTTAGTTGCTTCACTCCTAACAGAATTTTAATTTGTCATCTGTTGTCCTTTTCTTGGTATCCTCTAAAATTAGTAAGAAATGCAACCAAAACAATAAATATCTGGGTAAAGACACTGCAGAAACCATTCTAACCTAAATACATTGAATTTCAATATGGTACAGTAGAAATGGGTAAAATTAAATATTTTTTCTTCAAGTCAGCAAATATTGTATTTCTGTGTGGTGAGGAAGCTGTTCTGTTAATGGGCACAAGAATATCTGGCTTCTGATGTTTAAAACGATAAGTTTATCAGGTGGGTATATTTTATTCCTCTCCAAAATAAAACCAAATTGAAAATACCCTAAAAGAATGAGATGACTATATGGTTCCACAAGAGGAGTATCTCTTCCCCTCTTATAGATCATTAGGTGGTTAACAATGTGAATGAACGTGGCTGCTCCTGCAAATTGTTTTCAATGAGCTGTTGAAATAGAAAACTCATCTGAGAAACTGCTCTAAAATTATATCACGAGTTTCCCCAGTGAGCACTTTGCTACTGCAGTTCAAGAGCAGTCCTGCAGCTTGAGCCACTAGAGACTGTTTATAATTAATGCCTAATTTTTCACAGGTGCATTTTTTATGTATTTTGTCAGGGTATTGGCATTTTGTAGCTAATTGAGATTTTCCAAACTGAAAATTGCAGCTTCAGTCCACACAGCACATATTGATAGAAGCAAGGTGTGGCCTTAAATCTGAAAGTCAATTCCACTTGATCAACTTCTGAAAAGGCTATTTTAGTTAAAAATTAACTCTTTGTCAATGCCAGCAAGTCTTCCCTAGCTCTGAACAGAAGGTTGCCTTTCAGTACCATCGCTTCATATTTATCCCTTTGCAATTCTCTTTCCTGCAAAGTAAAGTATTAACCTGTCTTGAACCATCAGACTGATGAGCTGTTTTTCACTGATCTGTACATGGCCTTTTAAGACACTGATTTTGGGGACTGACAGACTTGGTGAGTAATTCTGGCTTGTAGTAAAGGATGTTCACAGTAGTTTGGAAAACATGCAGAAATACAAATTTTTTAAGTTATGTCAAATTCACACAGGTATCTTGTTTGTTGCAGGAGTTTAATATTTGTACTCCACCTGTCAACACAGAAGCAGAACAGCTGACAGATCCATTGTTAATGATTCCCCAGGAAACCATAGACTAGGAGTGGGACATCAGAGAAAACTACTAGTCTGACATGTTTTGTTTGTGACAATGAAATTAACTGCAAACCACAAATTGTTTAGGGCTTCAGCATGTTGATAGATACTTAAGGTCTAGAAAAGATATTTTTTTACTGCACATAGATTTGTACTAATATAGTAGCATAATTAAGGAAATCACCCTGCAAATGTCTGCTGCAGGCACATAAAAATCATTTGTTAGAAATATGTGGGATGGAGAATGTTACGATCAAGATCCCTGAAAGAATTCTGTGCAGTCTCTGCTCACTTGTATTTTTTGTTAGGATGGATTTTATTGCCATAATGTTATTTGTGATTTAATACTGCTTGTTCATGTAATGAAGAGGTAACTTTTAGCTTTTTTAACACCAGAAGGCATTTCTGTTGTCCCAGGCCACAAGAATTTTCAGCTGGTACCAAAGCAATACTATTAATTGCAGTGTCATATGTCTCTCTGTAAATCATCACTAAAAGATCAAAAAATCATCTGTCAAACTTTGCTTTCCCGTAAGTGTTGTTTAAGATTTTGCTCTGTAATCCTTTATTGCTACAGGTTCTGATGCTGTGTTGGTCTCCATTGCTACCATTGTTCCATTTGTGAGTCTAAACATTCCAACTATTCTCTTTACTCTAGCTGGGATGAAAAGTAACATTGGCCAGACACAGAATTTGTAGAGAGAAATTAAAGGATGTTTTTACTAGTTTTATGCACTTATGCAACCCTGGAAACAGGGATAATAATAGGGCATGTTGAGAGGAAATGGAGCATTACAGCATGTTGAGAAAAAGGAAATAGAACAAAGATACTCAGCTTGAAGTGAGGTTAGCACAGAAATTGCCTTCCCTCCCTCTTCCATATGCTGTGTAATGCAAAACCAAAACAAAGCTGTAAGTTCTAGTCAGAGACTCAGAAAAGCAATACAGAAGTCAGCAGAATAATTCTGTTTGTGAAAAACAGCTAATAAGTGTCATAAAAGGACACACTGAGTGTCACTTGGACTCTTGCTGTGCTTTGGGAGGCAGCTCAGCCTGATTGCTCCTGGGCCATCCCTGCCCTCAGAGTTCAGGAGTTCCTGGGATAATAACGGTGCTTCCCCTTTGTTCACCCAGCTCTGTGGGAATCACAACAAGTGAAACTTGGCTCTTGCTTGCAAACTGATGGAAGCCACAGTTGTGGCATTTCTCAGATTTCTCTCCTGGAGAGAATGTTTTTTCATTCTAAGTCTCATCCTGGGCACTCTCTACCCAGCAGTTACTTTTACAGGAATTTGAAGCTTTTAATTACTTTAAAGGAGTATCTACCATTTTATCAAATTTTTCTCAAATCAGCCTCTGTGCTCAAAACCTATTAACAGGGTACATGTGCTATGATTGCATAAATCTCCTTTCCTTAGTAAACTAAGCTAAATACGTCTAAGAAGCCAAATGAAAGTTTAATCTTTAAGAAATGACATTTTAAAAATAATTTCTTATTTTTAAATAAGAAATTAAATTCCTACCAGATTTAATGTCCTACTTATACTACTATTCAAATCTAAAGGACTAACTAAGAAATTCCATTCTTTATGTGGATTTTTGACCCCTTCTCCACATTTCTACATGAAAAGTATGATTTTCAGTCAAGCTTTTTAGAACACCTTAGATGTTTCACAGAAAATGACTGCCTTGTCTGCTTCAGAGCTAAGTCAATATTAACACCAATGACTTGACCATGGCATTCAGATGGATTTTGATGGAAGCACAAGCTACTCTAGGCTATCAAATGCATGTGGTCCAGTTAGGCACCATGCATTCTGCTTTGGAATTTGGCAAGGGAACTATATAAACTGGCTAAATTTTAGTCAAAGACCAAATATTCAAGAATCTGGAGAAGATGAAGAGCCTTGATAATATCAACTCTAAACCAGTTGATACTATCAAAGCTGCTTACAACTTTGTTTTGTAACTTTTCTTGAAGGAGTACAATAATTCCTGCTCAGAACGCTGTATGTCCAACATGAGGGAGCCTGAAGGAAAGATAAACAAGTTGACTGCTGAATATTGAGGCAAAAAGGAAATAGCTGTGTAGATATGAGGCCTGTTGGACAGTTTCAGACTACAGAAATAGCAGTCAGTGGATCAGAAAACTCATGACCCAAAAAAACACCCAACAGAAACCATCACAATCATTTTTTAAACAAGGTTTTAAAAAAGATATACTTCTACTATTTTACAGTTACCTTTCATATGCTACAGAGGAACTTTCTAAAACTGAAGAGGAAATGCTAATCTTCTAGAGGCTGTTCTCCATAGAACCTGGGAAAAAAAGCAGTTCAAAGGAAGGCAAAGATACCACAGTCACCTGAAATAAGTAGAATGTTTAGGAGGACAACATTTTCTTTTGCTGATTCCTAAACTTCATAAAACCATGGGAATGCAAACCCCTAGGACGTGACTGGCTAGACTCATGAGCAAGAAAATGAAACTGGAAGTGATGCTGCCTTTCATCCAGAAGTCCAGTCCCTAGTGCACACACCTGGGAGAAAGCACTGGACAGAGGAGACCTGTGCCCGGTTCCCTCTCTTGTTTGATGAGATTTTTAGTAGGAGTTTTGGAATAAACATCCAGGTTTTGTTTCATGTCAATGTTTGCTGAGCCACAATGACTCAAGTCTGATATGTAAACCAGGACCTTGGGAGGTGGGGCATCCTAGGCTTTTAATCCCTGTTCAGATAGACATTTAACATTCTTAAAGTGGAACAGCTGAGAGAAGAGCACCCCAAACATCCTGCAAAACTGTGATTAGATCAGACCCATGGGAAGTGCTGAGCCCAGGACTGACAAGAGTTCTCCCTTTGCAGAGTGTAACTACTCGGCAGGTGGATAAGACAGCAATCCCTGCTGTTTTCTGTTATTGACACAGACTTTCTCCGAATTCATGGACAAGTTTTACAGATGTGATGACAGTGCCAAGAAATCAGTTTCAGTTCTAGTTTTTTGAACAGAAACTGTAGGGCAAATACATGATTACTTTCTAAAGAACATAAAGAAATCTAACAATCTAAAAGTGTGTCACTCTCTCCTTACAGTAACTGGTCCAGAGCTGCTGATACCTCAGCAGAAATTCTGAATAACATTCTACTAAAGGAATATTAACAGATTTTCTTTCCTTATTGCTATCTTATTAGTTTGGGGTTTTTGGATTATGAGAAAATACTGCTTAGAAGCTAATATTTGTCTATGTTTATTCTTCAGGCATTTTTAAAATCTTCCTAATGGCAACTCGGTGTGAGGCAATGTGAGTTATTTTATGATTTCAAAGTAAATGCATAATTTATCACTTCCAGTACTATCTGCAATAATTAAGAGCTGCATTGGAACGTTGTACTTCTACAAGTTTTTATTCACTTTTTTAGTGGTTTTTTTTTTTGTTTGGGTGGTTGGTTTGGCTTTTTTGTTTTGGTTTGGTTTTTTTTAAAGGAATTATCCTCTTTTTTTTTGTTTGTCTAAACCAACATGGTTTGCCTGCGGGATCTTAGATGAACATTGCCTAATATTTTGCATAATGAGGTTAATTTTTACAAAGCACAACAAAAGGAAGCATCATAGAAGGAATTTTCACTTCCTGTTAACAAGGGCACATGGTAATGAGTATCTGCTCACCATATTTTAATGAACTACAATATCTTGGCAAAATAATGTACAACATCCTTTCTTTCCCTGACAAGGCTTGTGAGAGAGGGAAACCACTCTAGCAGTAGGACTCTTGCAGTGCAGCTGTTGTCAGTACAACCTGGCAATTGCTGTCAATAAGACATGACTGTAAACTTTACCCAGGAGTGTAATTTTTCAACAAGAGTCCCCAGGTCATGTGATGCGTTGGTATTATGTCACCTTTCCTGCTATTTAAGGCTTCTGCCAATATAAAAATGTCTGGCATCAACCCAGTGGAACAGTGTTCTTACTACTGAATTACTTAATTGAGTAGAAGGGGATGCAAAGGCTAAATCAAGTAGCTGTTTGCTTGGATTTTCTTTACTATGTGGATTACACACAGTAGGAGACATTTAGGATTGGATTTCTTCGAATGTGAAGGATGAAAATGAATCCAATAGACAAGGTGTATGCCCTGTGTCTCTCGTCTGAGAACTGAACAAGTACAACAGATAAATGGATGTACACAGCATCACTTTTCTAAAATAAAAACTAAACTATTGCAAGGCTTATTTATTTTATGTTAATCTACTAAATTTATTTTAACTTGAGGTCACCACGAAAAGCTTCTAGAAATTAATTTTTTTAAAGAATTATTTTTCTTTTGCTTGCAAATAAACAAACTGGATTTGTGATGGCTCTGTAGCCACTTTCACCCTGATACAGCTTATCCAAGTCAAACATTTCTTGTAACTTTAAGCAGTTTAAAATGTATTCTCACCTGAGAGTCTGAGTAATGTTGATAGGAGAAACACATACACATTGATGAGACTGACTCTCCTAGATGCTATTTTTTTATTATTCTGCATAATAATATGTTGGAAGTTATTAAAAAAACAATGTATGGTTTGGGTTGGGGTTTTTTTCCTCCATTTACAAAAGCATTCTTTTAAAGTTTAAAAGACTGGAAGCTTATGCTTTTTTCAGGGTTGCATGTTTGAGACTTTTCATATTGTCTCAATAAGGATACTATAAACATGTTATATGTGCCTAACAAACATTATGAAATAATGTTATAAACAGATTAGATCACTCCTCAGTGTTTATACTTGTGCCAAATTCCTGAAGTATGATACTGTAACAACAAACCACAGCAGACTAAATGCAATCAATTTTACAAGCATACCTTATGGAATACTTCAGGAAACCACACATGTGTTGAATAGTGTTTGTTTTGCAGATGTTCATTTAGTATCTGTTTGTGCATTCATAGTTACAGGCTTCCCATCTGAACATATCTATCCTAATAAAGTTTTGGCAGCAGCTCCAATCGCACAGTCATACGGGTTGATACTTGCTCTGTGTGCAGTGTCTCTAAGAATAACAAACAATATTAAACAAACCCATAACTTCAGTGCTAATGAGCAAGACCTCCCCACTGTCAGAGGTTTTCTACTGACGTGCAAAAACAGAACTAGACAATTGCACTCTGATTCCCAGATCACATTCTAATAGTGACCAGACACAACACGGAGTACTCATTCAGTAGAGTTTAAAATAAAAATAAATTTAAAAAATCATCAGTAGGTATATTTGTCACAGTAGTTCAGTGGTGCTTCCCTCAGGTATTTTTTAACCTACAGCAAGCAATAGAAGCAGTTTGGACCATTGAGAGATACTGCAATCAATTGATTTCTCTGGCACAGACTGTGCTTTTGAGGCAAAAAACCCAGAAACTCATGAGATTGCTGTCAATAACTCTCTGAGGGGAAAGAAATGTCTCTTTAGTAATTAAGTCACAGGCCAATAGGTCTAGGATGAAGTAATTCAGACTAGTTAACTTTCAGGCTTGGCTGTGCTGCTCTAGCCAAGAGTGCCTGTCTGCTGCCCAACTGCAGCAAACACAATGGTTCTCTCAAATCAGCTGCTGCTGTGTTTCTCTTTACAGCGTATCATATGTTTGTGCTTTTCTCAGTAAGTTTTTTGTATTATGGGGACTATTTACTATCCCTCATTAATTTGTGTTTCCCAGTTAGGAATGCTTATTAATTCTCACTCGGTAAACCTTGGCTGGCTTCTGTGGCTTTGTTGGATCATGCAAAATCATGATACTCAAACCAATTTGTCCAAGGACTTAGACAGGGGTTCTGCAGAACAGTAGGCAATTGTGCACCTTTGAAATGCACAAATTCAATAAAATCAGTGTGCAGAGTTGATCTTACTTTTGTTATTTCACACTTTTTCCATGTTTTACCTTGTAATCTTAATACTGTCTTTATATTTATCTTGCTTTAGAAGGAACATAAACACCTTCAACAAATTCTCAGTAGGTAAATTAGTAGTTGAATATGTGTTTCAAGCAACTGTACTATATCCCAGTCACTTGTGTCTAAAATAAGTTGCACTCTCTGGTTTCCATCCTTTTGCCCAATTTTCTGCCAAATACCAAGAATATTTTTTTCTCTCCTTCTTTTTTCTTCCTTCTTTGGCAGAAGGGCACAGTTTAGTAATTGTTTAACTACTAAAGTGTAATAACCAAATTATTTAATGGTATAATCACTAAGCAGCAATTATTTAATTACTAATGTTGGGTTTTTTTCTTCACTTCTCTGAGGTTCCAAAGTACTCTGGAAACATCTCAAGGCTAAAGATGTTAGTTAAAAGGAACAGAATATTTTCCAGGCTAAACACAGTAGTTACATCTTCAGAGCTTAAGTTCACAAGGAGAAGGACACTTCACTTATTCATCTGAAAAAATATCTATATTTGAGAGAGAATTTACACTAAATAAATTGATTATTTCTGAAGGCAGCTATGGCAGATAGTATAACAGTAAGTTGTGAGTAGCATGGGCTGAAAACGTTGAGATATAGAGTTTATGCACTTCTCCACTATTTATCTTCAGAATTCACAAGAAATATTTTCATGTTTTACTAAAGAAAGAACCATACTTTGGTGTTGGTTTTTTTAAATTAGGGTAGAATGGACAACAAAACTGAGAAAAAACCATCTAAACTCGGGAGCATTCTTAGATGTTGGCCAGGGTGAGATAGCACTATGGACAAAAAGGCATGAGAAAAACTGAATTTCTTAGTCACTTTTTGGTTCGGAGATTTTCATATGCAAATTCTGAGGCGAGTGAAACCGCAGCTCTTGGCAGTGCTGTGTTACAGGGCTGTTTCCTCCAGCAACTGTGGCTTCAACGCCCAGGTAAGGCTGTGTCCAGCTGTTCTGCAATGTCCCGCTGAAAGTAATGGGAATGTTTTACTCAGCAAAGCTTTAGGACAGTTAATCATGTATTTGACTGATATTTAACCCAGAGGGTAAACAAGAAAACAGGTGCACAATGAACCTCCAGTCTGCACAGTGCTCAGTTCAGTAGCTCTTGCTCCAGTGATTCCAGCAGCACGCTGTGCGTTATATTGTCCAGTGTTTGTATTGGATGCTAACTCCGGGTACAGCTGTCCCTGGCTTTGTTTGGCCACATGGCTGGGGGAGGTGCTGGTGATCCAGGGCACGGTGAGGGAAAGGCCTGGCTGCCCAGCCCAGGCTGTGCCTGCTGCCCCTGCACAGCACCAATAACTCACGGGGCACCACTGGGGAGAACAGTGCTGGGCCCTGGGGCTGCTGTGGCCCAGGTGTGTTGTGGAGGAATCCACTCAGTGCAGGTAGCTCAGGGTGCAGCTGCAGGTTGAGCTCTAGGGGGCAGAAGGCCCAGGCAAGAGGCCATGAACTTCCAATTCTTTGCACAACAAAGGGCCCAAGGAGCTGTGGCCTGGCCGGGTGAGGGAAATTTGGAGATGCGGCAGGAGCTGTCGACCTCCAGACTTTCACACACTTGAACTGTGAGGGGATAAAAGCATCCCTCCTCAGAGGCATCAGCTTGAGCTGTTATTTTGTTATTTAGTTATTGCACCATGATTAAATTTTTTTTAAGGATCGGGAGACCGAAACTCTCCTACAGGAAACTTGAGGCCAAGCCAGTAAGGAAACCTGGTCTGACCGTGAGTGTGGGGGGTGCAGCTGTGAAGGGGCTTTGGTCCCAGCTCAGGTGGTGCAAGTGTGACTGCTGGAGTGCCTCCTACATGGTTGAGCAGGGAAGTTTCATAGAATCATAGAACAGTTTGGGTTGGAATGGGACCTTGAAGATCAGCTAATTCCAGCCCTGCTGCTGTGGGCAGGGACACCTTCAACTAGACCAGGTTGCTCAGAGCCCCATCCAACCTGGCCTTAAACACCTTCAGGGATGGAGCACACTAAACTCCCTGGGCAACCTGTTCCAGTGCCTCGCCACTCTCATAGTAAAGATTTTTCTCCTAATATCTAAGCTAAACCCACTCTTTCAATTTGAACCCATTCCCCCTTGTCCTGTATCTACATGCCCTTGTAAATAGTCTTGCGCCATTTTTCCTGTGAATTCCTTTCCGGTACTGGAAGGCCACAATTATTTCCAGGTTGGACAATTTCAATTCTCTTACCCTTTTCTCACAGGAGAGGTGCTCCATCTCTCTGATCACCTTGGTGGCCTCCTCTGGACTCCCTCCAACAGGTCAGCGTCCTTCCTGTGCTGAGGACCCCAGAGATGGGCGCAGGACTACAGGTAGGGTCTCACCAGAGCGGAGTAGAGGGGCACAATCACCTCTCTTGACCTGCTGACCACACTGCTTTTGATGCAGCCCAGGACACAGTTGGCTCTCTGGGCTGCAAGCACACGTTGCCAAGTCAAGTCCGTGGTCTCATCCACCAGCACTCCAAGTCCTTCTGGATAGGGCTGCTCTGCTTTCTATCTGTTCATCCCCTAGCCCGTATAGACACTGTTTCATGGTCTCCTTAACAGTATGGCACTGACTCTGTGTGCCCCCACCAAGGCGGCAGGTGGGCAGTGCAGGGTGAGCCGGGCCTGCTGTGGGGCTGGGGGTGAGGCCAGCACACGGCAGCAGTGCTGGACTGGGGCGTGAGGCCGGCACACGGCAGCAGTGCTGGAGCGGGGTGTGAGGCCAGCACACGGCAGCAGTGCGGTACTGCGGTGTGAGGCCCGTGGTGTCGCGGCAGTGCTGTACCAAGGTGTACTGCTGGCACGTGGTGGTGCAGTGCCCGGATGGTACTGGGATGTGAGGCTGGCAGACGGCAGTGCTGTACCAGGGGTGATGCTGACATGTGGCACTGTAGTACCAGGATGTGAGGCCAGCACACGGTGGTGATGTGCTATCAGGCTGCGAGGCCAGCACATGATGGTAGTGCCGTACTGGGGTGTGAGGCCCGGCACAGAGCACCGGTGCAGTATCAGTCTGTGAGGCGGCACATGGCGGCGATGCAGTACCAGGAAGCGAGGGCCCAGCACACGGTGATGATGTCTGGGGTGTGAGGCTGGCAGTGGCAGCGTTGCACCGGGCTATGAGGCCGGCACACGGCAGCGTTACGCCGGGGTGCCAGGCCGGCATATGGCGGTGCTGCGCAGGGTGTGAGGCCCGGCACATGGCGCCGGCCCCGCCCCGCCGCGGCCCCGCCCCGATCTCGGGCGCCGCGGTGTGTCCGACCCGCAGTTCCCGTCAGGCAGCGCGCGGGGCCGCGGCCGCCCCCGCCTCCCGCCCGCGCTCCCCCGGCGGCGGCGGCGGCGCTGAGGTGGCGCCGCGCCCCGGTGAGGTGAGCGAGGCGCCTCCGCCGGCCCTGCC